AATTTACAAATTTATCTCGAATAACGGGGTATTTCTTGTTCTAGAAGAAACATAGACGTGGCAGGGGCTGTATTTTTGAAAAAAGAACAGATTTTGCATCTCGCAGGACAGGATTTTCAGCATATTTTGAAGCGCATTTCCCTGGAAATTGTCGTATTCTTAGGATTTTTTAGAAATAAGGCAATTTCCTTCACATTTCCTTCAATCTTCCGAAATTTCCTTTAGATTCGAATTTCCTGATAATTTCATTCAATTAGTTTATAAATTTCCTTCAGAAAGGAAATTTCTTTCAAAATGGAAGCGAAGTCATTCGTCCCAGGCTTTAAAACATGCTCTTCTTTCCGGTCACAACTTCCGGTTTCAAATATTCACTCCTGATCGCTGAATTCAAATATCCCCACCCTCGGGAGGAAAATAAGGATCAAATTCCCGAGGGTGGGGAGACAAAGATCGATCAAATCTCCCATATATGCCCGACCCCCCCCCCCTCTGGGGCTTAACATTGATAGGTGCATCACTCCTGTAAAATTTCCTCTGGTTTGGTTGCTTTCAACATGGCGGCCACGCCGGAAGTCGGCTAACATTCTGGCACACTTTTTACCCCTGAGTGAACCTTCTGCCCTTATCTTTTCTGTGGCAAAGCTTTATGGGATAGCGTCACAATTCACACCGCCATATTTTAAAATTTTTTTAGTTTAAACTTTCCGCTCGAAATGGCTCAAATACAGAGCTTTTATTGAGCGAAAGTGTTATTTATTTTAACGATAAAGCATCAGCGATGACTGGGTAACATCCAGGTAAGAATTTTGTTATGTTTTATATATAAATAGAGCAATTTTGAAAGGAAATATTTACTATCTTCAGTCGTGAATTTTGAGCACATGTTCCAGCTTAAAATCTCAATTTGCTGCGACAATATTTGAATTAAAACAACATTAGTTTTATAGAAGGCTTACATTTGACTCAGCCTTTATATTTATAAATGATGTTTATTGTAATGCCAAATAGTATACTTTGATCTTTGTGTATACTATAGTGTATATGACAGATTGCCAGATTCCAGTGTTTGTTGTATAAAATAATATAGCTTGGCATCTACTGAATTCTCATATGCCTACCCAGGCATGTCTCAGCTAAACATGGTTTGAGAAAATTTATTGACTGGTTTCAAATTAACTGGTACTTTCATAAGTTTCCAATATTTATTCATATATAGGTGGGTCAGTTTAGGATAGATAAAAATATAAATTTGATGTGTTGTTGTCATATGTGGCAACTTGATTATAGATGTATCCATAACTGGAAACAGTTAAAGTCCTTAGTTTGCTTGTTCAAACTTATGAATACATTTAGTTACACCACATGTCTTCATGATCTGCTTAATAATGTATGTAACAACCTTTGGGCTACATTTTATATATTTTAGAGACGCCCCGGCAAGGGTTTGATTGTTTTTGGAATACCCATTTCACTCCAATGAGCCCAATGTTCAGCACTTTGTTATTAAATGTTATCTTGCCTAATGCCGGACAATTTTATTCATGAAGGGAAGTGTCTAGCTAGCGTATTAGACTCGGCCCATGTTTCATGTTGACATATAACACTTCCTACTAAAGTACTTTGATATTATTATTTAACTCTGACATTTCATGCTAGACAATTTTACTTATCGACTGTGGCATGCTCGCCCATATCTCACCTAAATATTAACACCTATAAAGGAGCAATTTGCTCTTACCTTTATTACTTGAAGAATGAAGTTCTTTGTAGGGGTGTGAGAATGTTTTTGCTATCCAGCTGCATACAGGATAAATGTTGGATAGTTGAAAAATACCCAGCTAGGTTCAGGGTATTTTTCAAATATATAAATGTTTTTTCTAACCTGTAAAGAAGGCCTGAACTACACTAGCTGCAGCTGAGCTTCGCCCTATTCTTGATGTTACATGATGTTCTTGCTTTTTTTCTGACCAGTCCCCAGCGAAGTTACTGTATGTATATTCTTAACTCTTTGGCTACTATAGCTAGAGACTGCTAACTACAGATTTTTAACTCATTTATTGGCAGACCTCTACCTACTGATACGTAAAATTGTCTGGCATTTACAGAGGGTAAATACAAAGTAGGTCTGTAATAACCTCTGATGTTTCAGCACTTCTACACTTGTTCTCAATTTCTTTTACTAATTATATTTTATTTAAATACTATTTACATTATACGTTCTAACTTTTTATTACCTCCGCCAGGAGGTTATGTAATCATCTGGGTTTGTTACCTCCGCCAGGAGGTTATGTAATCATCTGGGTTTGTTACCTCCGCCAGGAGGTTATGTAATCATCTGGTTACCTCCGCCAGGAGGTTATGTAATCATCTGGGTTTGTATGTGTGTGTGTGTGTGTGTGTGTGTGTGTGTGTGTGTCTGTGTGTGTGTATGTGTCTGTGTGTGTGTATGTGTGTGTGTATATGTGTGTGTGTGTGTGTGTGTGTGTGTGTGTGTTTGTCTGTGAGCACAATAACTCAAGAAATACCAAACATATCCGTACGAAATTTTTTGAATGCATTTCCCATCGGCTAAGGAAGAACTGGTTAAAATTTGGTTGAATTTGGTTAAAAATTGAACGAGAAATGAACAAAATTTTGTCTTGCTTTTCCCGGTCAATTAACAAAAAATATTACTGAATGCGTAATTAGGACGTGTATAATTTATGCACTCAGTGCTAAGACAATAATGAGATGATAAACCTCATTAATCTACGGCCTTCATTATCTATTGTCTTAGTTGCATTTCACGCGACCGAAATTCAATGTCTAAAACAAGGCTTACGGAGTTACGCATTATTACGTTCAGCAAAGTGCCAGTCCATTCAAATTCTAAAACATTAGATTACTTCAATACAGGGTGTATAAAAAGAACGCAACCTCGGAATTTCCCAAGGAATCGACATTGTTTTAAAGACAAAAGATTTTAGCTGCCTGGGAATTTAAAATAGCACAACTGTGAAAATTACTGCACGCGCGAGTGCATAAAGCAAAATTTATGCATTTATTTAAAGTGCTCATGAAACGAAATTTTCACCTCATTTTTTATTGTTTTGCTAAAAAGCACTGCTGGAGCGATGGGGATTGGCGTTTACAGTTTCTTCATATTTCATCTCGTTCTCAAGTTATCGCACTTTCTAAATTTTGAGTTGTGACATCACTAGTTTGACTTGAGATAACGGCAATAACAAGAAAGTCTGATATCTTAGTGAGTATTTACTAAAATTCAATGAAACTCGGTACACTTAGTGGGTGCACCATTTGAATATTTTTGGCAGTTCATGTGGTTGTCATAGCAACACACTAGTCCCCAGTCTCGTCTCTTCCTTTTCACAAATTTCCTCCTGTAGACCCCTTGCAGAAGATGTTTACATGTTATAACGGTTTAAACTGATCACAATACCTACATGTATTATAGTAATAAGCAACAATTGCAAGAATTACTATTTATTTCATTGGAAATGGATCATATAGAAATTGGAAGAGAAGGGACTGGGGACGAGTGTGTTGTCATAACAACCATATAAACAAGCTAAATTGTTCACTTCGTTGCACCCACTAAGTGTGCCAAGTTTCATTGAATTTTATTAAATGATCATCAAGATATCAGATTTTCTTGTTATTGCCACTATTTTGAGTCAAACTAGTGACGTCACAACTCAATATATAGAAAGTGCGATAACTTGGGAATGAGATGAGATACAAACAAATTGTAAACGTCATTCGTCATTATTTTCAAAGTACCTTTTAATAAGACAATAAAAATCAAGGCAAAAGTTTCGTTTCATAAGCACTTTAAAAAAAAATTATTTCCGACCATAATTTTTTTGCGATATTGAAACTGGAACCACAGGTATTTTTTTTTTACGCCCTATAATGCTTACTGAAACGGTGAAACTCCCTTACTGCTTTGTGTTAATTTTGAGAAATCATTTGTGAAATTATTTTTCTTCAGATATATTTTTATTGAATATGCAAATGAGAAGGATGCAGCGCAGGCTGTGAAAATAGCGAATGGTTACAAACTTGATAAACATCACATCTTTATTGTCAATCCATTTTCCTCATTTGATTGGTAAGCTGTTCCTATTGCAGGAAGAACAGTTCCTTGAACAGTTTAGAAACGATAGAGCTATTCAGTAGAAATAGAGTTTAGTTCTAGGTTTCATTCTGTGACATACTGTAATGTTTCTTCCAGTATGTTGGATCTTGAGGAAGACTGGAGCCCTCCTGAGAAGGAACCATATGAAGATAAGGTATGTTGAATTAACAAATAGTGAAAAAGAATTTAAAAAGTAAATGTATTGAACAATGATGAAACTATTCTCTGCCAGTTCTGCTGCTGATTGTCAGTGACGACACAAGAGACAGTAAATCTGAGTCTTTCTTCTTGTTAACCCATTGAGTGCCAGCATTCTCCCTTTGACGAGTAAAATTGTCTGGCGTTAGAGTAAAATAATAAAGGTTCATCAGGGTGCATTGCCACTTAATGGGTTAAATAATAGAACTTTCAGAATATTTACATTTTTGGAACCCACTCAGTTTGAAATAATTTTTCACATTAGGGAAACTTGCGTTCGTGGTTACTCGATGCAGACTGCAATGACCAGTACTCAGTCATTCATGGAGGAGGGGAAAAAGTTGACATATATTTGAATACATCGACTGAACCTGTTTTGCTGAAGGAAAGACCTGTAAGTATAGATGGATCTAGTGGAGGTCGGGCCTTTTTATAACTGAGGATGGAGATTAATCCAGCAGCATTTACACTATGTTTACACCCAGATGAATTCAGGGCTTACTGTTGCCATAGAGTATTTTAAACACATGACAATAGAAACTTCCATAAATTATTAACATGTTCATT